AACACTACTACTGCTACTACTACTACTACTACTACTACTACTACTACTACTACTACTACTACTACTACTACTACTACTACAAAAAAGCAGCCACAACAACAACAACAACAACAACAACAGCAACAGCAACAACAGCAATAACAGCAATAACAGCAACAACAGCAACAACAACAGCAACACCACCACCACCAAAAACTACAACTACAACGAACAATCTATCAATATTTTCCTCCACAGTTTACGTGGAACAACAACAACAACAACAACAACTACAGCAGCAGTAACAACAACAACTAACAATCAATATTATGTCTCCCACAGTTTATGTCGACAATGTGAACAGACCCGGCTACCAGCTACACCTCGTTCATCACTCCAACTACTGGGGCAACTACGAGCCCTTGGATGGAGGTAAGATCTCTGTCAACGTAACGGTTTGGTAAGATCTCTGTTAGTGGGTGTTGGCGGGTGCTCTGGAATGGTTTGCTCCTTCTTTCCTATCAAACATCTAAGGTCATATTATGCAGTTACGAGCGCGTAATACCTCCTCTAAAACAAACAAAAATATATAGCGTATTTATCTTTCCTCCTTTTTTATGTTTTTTACTCTCTTGTAACACCTCTAATCTTCGGCACTTATATGACTTTTTTTTGTGTTGCAAGTGCCGTAAAACTCTGCCGTAAGATCTCTGTTAGGGTAACCGTTAGTAAGATCTGTCAACGTAACGGTTTGGTCAGATCTCTGTCAGGGTAACAGTTTGGTCAGATCTCTGTTAGGGTAACGGTTTGGTCAGATCTGTCAGGGTAACGGTTTGGTCAGATCTCTGTCAGGGTAACTGTTTGGTCAGATCTCTGTCAGGGTAACGGTTTGGTCAGATCTGTCAGGGTAACTGTTTGGTCAGATCTCTGTCAGGGTAACTGTTTGGTCAGATCTCTGTCAGGGTAACGGTTTGGTCAGATCTGTCAGGGTAACTGTTTGGTCAGATCTCTGTCAGGGTAACTGTTTGGTCAGATCTCTGTCAGGGAAACGGTTTGGTAAGATTATTGTCAATATAACGGTTTTGTAAGATTTCTGTTAGGGTAACTGTTTGGTACGATCTCTGTTAGGGTGACCGTTTGGTAAGATCTGTTAGGGTAAGGACCTGTGTGGTAGAACTCCTTGGCGAGATATATGGTCGATTTTAAGGACAAGCGGGCTAACCCAGATTTGGATTGTTTCCAGAAATCTTGACCTACACCAAAAGTGGAGAAGTTTGTTTTCCTTGGTGTGTATATTTGTTTGGTTAAAGAGAAAACGCTCCTTGTCTTTTTAAAGAAACTGAGCAAGGGTCCAAAAACTTTTCCCCTTGATTTTCTCAAAACAGCTTTTTTTTAATCGGGATAGCCCCCTTGTGCTTAGAAGCGACCATATGTGAGGCACCGTGGTGTAATCAGGCTCTCGTCCAAATAGTGAAATCAACGAAACTGGTGTTTTTCTGGCCGTCTGGCAGTTTTGTTCTAACTTTCTTTTTTTGACTCAACACCTTTTACGTTCATTTATAAACTCGTCGATTTTTACTGAAAAATTGATGGAAGGCACCAAAAATGTAAATGTTTAGTTTCTAAGGCCTTTTAAGCTATGGGAGTTAGCAAACTTTGGCGGCCATTTTCTAGCTAATTTTACCTTTGAAACCAGTTGACCCTCACCTCCTTCAATTGCAAATATCACGACCTCTTTTCAACATAGATGGATTTTTTTCACCAAAAACAAGGCACATGAACAGGCTTTAAGATGATACCAATAACCCCATATGCCCCGAAAATTTGAGAGAGCCTGATTCCACCTATTCAGACTGCATATTATGTTTTAAACTGTTTAGTGACTTTTATCAACGTGTCCTAGTAAGATATATGTACGAATGTATTTTTAAATGGACATACACTTATATACGGTGTTGAGCCCAAAGCAAAGTGATATCAATGAAAATTTGCCCAGCAACCGACAAAAAAGTAGGTTTTCTTCCGTGTCGTCATTTTGACGAGCCTGTGATTTCATCACGCTGTCTCTCCACCAGATGTAGGTCAATGGGGCCAGGCTGCGTCTCTGTGTGCGCTCTGTGTGCGTGCGTGTGCGTGCGTGTGCGTGCGTGTGCGTGCGTGTGCGTGCGTGTGT